TGTCTTTGCCATTTGTCATAATATTGGATACTGGTGCAAAAGATGAGTACTTTGTGCAGAAACTTGTTTAGTTGCCAGTTAGTTTGCCTCTGGGAAACAGTAAAAATAATTACAAAGCAACAAAAGAACGTATCTCCAAATCATCGATTCAAGAAAATCATTACAGCCGGGCATGGTAGCACACGCCTGTAATCCCAGCACATGGAAGGCTGAGGCAGGAGGTTCGCTGTGAGTTTGAGACCAGCCTGGGCTACATAATGAGTTCCAGGTCAGTCTCAACTACATAGTGAGACTCTGTCTCAAAAAAAACCAAAAAAAAAAATCATTACATAATGAATGCAGTCTTAGCTTATTGATTAAAAAAAAAATAATGGGGAAGATGAATGAAAATCTTAGCATTCCAAAAGTTGCTCCCCCATTTACTTTATGTATGTTAAATTATACAAATGTATAACCTTGTTTTGCAATTAATTTCAGTAATGTCTCATAATTTACACAAGTAAAATAGCATGTCTACTATTAAAATAATATGTAGAAAATACTAGAGAAGATATTCTGACCTGCATACTACAATGGTATTTAATATCTCTATCTGTAATTAAACATATAAATAAATCATTAATAGCTTTTTTAACCTGGTAATTTCTTTGAAATTTAATTTCACTATTTCAAATTATAAATGTTCCTTCCCATTAGAAATATAATAGTGTTTATTATTTCTATAAACAAAGTTATATGACTGATGATATCTAAAGAACAACAAACTTAAAGTAGCATTTAAATGCTAGTTTAAATTTGCACCCTCCCATTTCAAACAACATGATTGCAACCTACTTCCCTAAATTTCAAGCTCATGGCCCTGTTTCTCGAAACTTTGGATCATAGACTCACACTTTATTTTCCATTCTCATTATCATGACATATAATCACTGTGTAGCGTTTATCTAGCAGTCCTTTCTTACCCACAGTCTGCTGCCCAAGGATGCTGGCCAAAGCCTGAAAACTTCAGACAGCTCTACATTATTATTTTTATGTCATTATTATTATATTATTATCTACATTATTATTTTTCATTTAATATACCTATGATGCTTGATACACAAATTAGGTATGGTAAAAGGCCCACAATAATCATTAATAAACACAACATATTCTGTAATGAACATTGTGTAAGATTTTTATGCATCTGTGATTTTCCATTTAACATTTTTACACTACAGCTGGCCATGGACAACTGAAATTGTGAAAACTACAGAACAGGGAGACCAATATATTCAAACACAGTTGTCCCATTAAATTGTTTGATTAGGCTCCTGTACAATGAATATCTACCATAACACACCAGGCATAGGGCATAGACCATACAAGACACTCTTACCCATAAAGACATAATCTTACTGGGAGAATCAAATGTACCTCCAACTCATGTTATTGCCATAGAATTATGCTATAATTAAAATACATATGGATAATACAATAATGAAAAATAAAACATGCACTTCAGACTTTAAAAAGGGGATAGGATTTTTAATATGGCTCAATTTTTAGATTTAACATACTTAATTGTAAGTATTAGTGTGATTCAATGTGATATTTCAAGAGAGTCACAGTGTGTACTGATCAAATATGACCTCCCTTCATTGACTCCCCCTGACACCTTTACCTAACTCCAGTGGTCACTGTTTAACATTCACTCCTGTGTCTGGCTTCTTTTACTTGACATAATTCCCACTTGTTTCATCTGCCTTACTATGAATGAAAAGATTTCATCCATGCTAAGTAGTGTTCTCGCATGTATAAATATCAAGATTACTTTATCCAGATGACTTTTGATGGCACCAAGGCTGTGTCCATACTTTAGTTATCACAAAGAGTGTCTCAGTAAACATTGGCATGCAAATATATCTTTTATATGTTGTTTTAATTTCCTTTGGATACAAACCAAAAAGTGAGGCAGCTGATCATATGGTAGATATATTTTTAGTTTTCTGAAGAGCATCCATGATGCTCTTTGTGATGGTTATACACGATCCCCAGCAGAGTAGAGAGAGTTTCTATCTGTCCTCACCCTTGCCAGCATTTATTTTGTTTGCTTGATGACAGAAATTCTAATTGGGGTGACATGACATCTCATTGTAGTTTGAGTTTGCATTTCTCACAGCTAATCCTGTTGAGCATATTTTAGTATATTTATTGGCCATTTGTACTTCTTCATTTAGAAAGTTGACTAACTTTTAATATAATGATTTGACTTTTTGTGGCTAAGGTTTGGGGGTTACTTAGAGATTGGTTTGAAGTGAGACTTCAAGTGTCAGTGGGAATTCATGAAGTACATAAGCATCTGGAACTCAAAGGAAGGGTTCCTATACAGAGGAGATGCTTATGCAGTGACTTGATGATATGAATTAATTTTTAATTTTAAAATTGCTAGGGCATTATTTGCATTGAAGTGACACTTCCCAAAGATTTAGCTGGATAGTCACAATCAAACAAATTTGTTAATTACTCAGTTTAACTTTACATTCATGGACACTAATGTCTTTCAACTGTACTGTTCTTAGCTTCTGGCCAAACTCTCCCTAAACCCTACAGAGCTCATTCTTATCTCAAAGACTTTGCATTTGTGCTCCTGTTGCTGCTCACTCTGGTGGTTTCTTCCTGGCTCTTATTCACCATGCACCTCTCACATGGCAGATACCTTCCCCAGCTTCCCACTAATGAGATCCTCCTTTCTGTTCATCTTTTGTACTTTCTCAATAGTACTGCATGAAGAGGCGTAATTTTTTTATTTGCCTATACCATCAGTATACATCACCTCTTTACCCTACAATATATGCCTGGTGTCAGCAGGTAGCTCATTCACCTCATTTTCTCTAGGAGTGTTGTACACAACACTCTTGACACAACACAACTTGACTGTCACACGTTTTACTTCATGATTTATTGGACAGAATAAAATCAATATCCGTCCCAGAATTTTTAAGGACAGTACAAGGATGAAAATATGGCTCCTTAAAGATAGGGATATAATTTAAATAGTGAAATAGATTTTCTCAGGTAAAAATTATTCGCAGTTGCTGAAGTACCATAAGGACTCGAGCAAATGCACTATAATAATAAATTGTATAAAAGCATAAATCATTTAAATAATTGTAAAAATTAATGTGCATTTGAAAGGATCAATTTTATCAAAACATTTTTAGGAAATTTTAAATAATTTTCAACTATTTAAATAGAAATACAACTTAAGCAAGCTTTAAAGTTTTATATATATGCATATATAGGAAAATTTCATTATATGTGTACAGGAAAAACTGATGTTTTTCACATACAATAACTATAGTCAGCAATTCAGATTCAGAATAAAATGTCTTCATCCTTATGTTGCTATAAAGAGAAAATTACCCAAAATAATATTTATTCCATGTATAACACTTTTCATTCTGTGATCATATGTGTTACTTGGGAAGATTTCAGGTACACAGAACTAAGAAAATTCTCCAGTAAAAATCAATGATTTTTAAAATTTTTTTCTTTGGTTTACAAAGAGACTAAGAGGCTGTGTTTTCCTCAAGTGCTACACTTAAATGTTGAAATAAATATTATATATATATATATAGATATATATATATATATGTATGTATACATAAATGTCATACAAAATTAGAGAATGAATTTTAGCAAGTATGCTTTGAAATACTAGAAATACAGTGCTGTGAATTTAAAATATCTGTGAGGCTAATTTAACCTTAGATAGTGTAAACATTACAAATACAAAACAGAACTTTGTGCAAATATTGGTGATAAATTGAATCCCTTGTACTCACTGTTGTGATGGAAACTATGAATTTTATATGAAATTTTGCAACATGTTTTGCTCTATCTAGAATAACTAAAGGAATAGAGTGTGTTTTCTACAGGCATCAGAATTCAGAAAGTATCTACTGATAAATCAAATGCAGCCCAGCCTTTTCTCTCTGGCTGGAAGTGGAAACTTTTAACTGAAATTTGAGTCTTCTTCCTTATAACTATTTGTGTTTACCGATAATTACTAAGGAAACTAATGTAAATCGGTCATTATTACAGGCAAGTCTGTTTTCCTTTTTGAATATATCACCACAGAGTTTTGCAGTTGTGAGCACTAGGTTATGGGAAAGATGGTGAAATCATCTCAATTTCTCAGGCTTAGATCAATATTCATTAAAATTATTTCCAAGAAAAGCAGAAAAGGAACGTTACCACATTGTAGTTACCAGCAGTACCCCTCATCAATTCATTTTTCAGGTCATTCTTCCCAATTCATAAGCAAAATCCATCACCCACAAATGTTTGATCTTTTGTTCTACTATTCCTGTTTAAGAATTGTAGTTATACCCATTTCTTTTGTAAATAATTGAAAAAATCACAGAATCACATTGTTTCTCTTCTTATTCCAAGTTATCACCATAATTGTCCACACAAAATAACAACCTTGGGGCTAGGGATTTAGCTTAGTGGTACTGTGCCTGCCTCACAAGGGCAAGGTCCTAAATTCTATCCCTAGCACAAAAAAAAAAAAAAAAAAAAAATTAATGGGCCAGGAGTATTGTCTTGAGTTTGAGGCCAGCTTGAATTACATAATGAGACCCTGTCTCAAAAAAAGAAAGATATTTTAAGCATAATTCTTTCTTAAGTGCTTGACATTGGTTGGTATAGATTAAGAAAAATATGATTATTATATCACATACTTTGTATTGTGATTATTATTATATGATATAATTTGCATTATGATTATTGTCATATGACATAATTTGTATTACAATATACCTGATCACTCAGGACCAGAGCACAAGAAGTAAGAGTGTGGGCAAATGTTGGCACAAAAACATGACTTTTAGACATCACAATTTTGGTTGTCTTCTGTTATTTTCTAACTGACAAAATAATCAACATACTTATATAAAACTATATATATGAAAATATTTATTAACTACTTACTTAAATGTTTATTAAGTACTTACCTAAACTTGTAGTGTCCACTACTCTCTAGCATCAGTATATAGGAACTCTTGTCCTACAGGTAAACAAATTAGACATAATTACTAATTTTCTTTAAAGCTTTGAAAAAAATGCATTGAAAATATCTTAAAGGCTCTATAAACTCAAGGTGTATTTCATCACATTTTTTTCTGAGAGAAAAGCTTTATTGGTTCTCAGCATATTCAATGATAGTTTGTCAGTGATTATTATAAAAATTTATTTATCCTGTCTTGATTTTACTCACCAACTGCTCTAAAATTTCTTTCACCCCAAACCAACATCTTCCTGGCTTCTTATTGTTCAGTATTTGATCCCAACTTTGACTTCAAGAGAATGTCAGCCATCTAACACCAAAGTGTCACAAAGTTTTTTTCTATTTTAGAAATGTTCCTGTATACACACATGCTTTTTCTATTTGCTGTAGAGAGTAGAAACTCCTTTTCTAGTTAAAAAAAAAAAATTCCTGAAAATGATGTCACCTTGGGTATTTACTCAATTAGAAATGATAAGCAGTTTTGTTTGTATTTGAATATGGAATCATTCTCTATTACCTCAGTAACATTTGCCTACAAGGAAGTTTAAAGATGATTAATTCTCTAATGTTTTTATTTAAATAATGTAGATCTTCTATTCTTCTCAAAATTACTTTGCTCATTTTTTTCTTAGTGTGTTATTCTTCTTTCTAAATTTCTGACTAACCAATAGCAAATTTCCTTCATTAATAGTGAAACAAAGGGAAAACTTTTTCACAGATAACATTCAATGTGTTAGTTAATACATTAGTTTTCACCAACAGCACTGTCTTCTGCTATAGATACAGGTCTACTACACCACACAATCATTCCAGCTCGAATCTGTCTTAAAGCCAGAGTGAAGAAAACATACTAGTAAGTAGGAACATCAAAGGCTGCTTCTCCAGTTACCTGTTCCTTCACTCGAGTTTATACAACTTAATCAAAAAAGGCACTAAAGCCAAATTTACAAAGAATGTGAGATGCAATTGCTGTTACATACAGAAATATAGGGTCTCTGAGTCTCATCTTTCATACATGTTCCTGGTTGTGATTTAAATGTTTCCTCAAAGACTCATCATATATTGAGGGTTTTTCCCCAATGCAGCAATTTTCAGAAATGAGGCCTAGGGAGGTGACGAGATCATGGAGGCACTAATCCGTCAATGGTTGCACATCAAACGGGCTACTGGGAAGTGGCGCTCAACAGAGGAAAGAGGTCATGTAAGTGTGCCCGTGAAGGCTGCATACTGTCCCTGACGCTTCCTCTCTCTCTGGATTTCTTGCTCCTTTTTGGATCCACACATCTCATGAGTTAAGGAGATATTTCTCCCCAATGATTTTTACATCACGGAGGCAGCCAAACATCCACTAAAACTCCTGAAATCATGATCCATATGAGCCCCATTTTCCTTTGCTGTGCACATCAGGTATTTTCTCAAAATACACAAACCAGACCAATATGCTGGCTACTGAATTTATATAAAGACTTGAAGCCTTAGGTAAAATGGCTCCAAACAAATAGAAAAATAAAGAGAACAGGCGTAACAAGCCAGATATTGATTTGAGTGGTATAGTCTGACTTCGCAGTATACTGATTATATATTATCCTCTTTTCATTTGAGTATGTCTTCATATTATAAAGGACATCTACCAAGTAGCTTATACATCTAAACAAACAAGCAAGCAACAAAAACAACAATAAGAAACTAAACGGATTTAACTCATAATTTAGACTTCCCAATGTATTTTGTCATCTCATAGCTCCATCCTAAATCATTTTTTAAACTTGGGTTAATTTAATTAATTGCACTTTTTCACATTGCAAACTGAATTAATTCAAAAACTCATGTGTTTGTGTTTCTATATCAAGTAGCTCTCACCTTTATCTTGATTCTATATCTCAAATATCCTGCATATGCATTATTTGGTTTCTTAAAAAAAAAATAACAATAGTTACTTAACTCATCTTTTAATATCTGATCCTTTGTGCCTATCTTTTAATCTTCTCGGTAAGTTTTATTTGATTATTATATTAACAATGATGTAAATTAATATTAAAATTATACAAATTATAAAGTAAAGCAATTATTTGCTTTGTAACTTTATGTTAATTGTTTTATTCTGAGAATTATACAAAATAATAGGGAATCCTTTGATAATTTATGTTTTTTATTCTTATTTTTTATTTAAATGTCAATATATTACTAGGTAGCTCATTGGATATATGACACTAAATCATAACCATGGCTATTATTATTTTATTTTATTATTATTATTTTGGTACTGGGGATTCAACTCAGGTCCTTGTGCTTGTGAGGCAGGCAGCAGAATCACTGAGCTAAATCCCTGGCCCATCCTGCCTCAGCCTCCTGAATTCTGGAATTACAGCCATGTGTCACCATGCCCAGTATATAATATTACATTCTATCTAGCTCGTGGCCCCTGTGGTGCTCAGGTTTTATGTCCTATGCACAATTTCTATGATTTAAATGTAGGTTTTGGCTATTGCTAGTTGTGATTTGGGGCAAATTTTTAAATTTCCTGTTCTTCAGTCTTCTCATCTTTAAAGTAAGATAACACTTCACAAAAGCATCACATTATATGATTTATGTAAAAAACAGAATATCATCTGTTTAAATTTAAAATGCATGTCAAAAGGTAAATGGTTTTTTAAACAATTTTGTTAAAATTATTGATGTAACTAATCACATTACATAATAGCTGTATTTATTTGTATCAATCAATGTTATATACATTGTGGACTTTGTATTATCTGCTGATCCAATATGAACCTTTAATATGGCAAATAAGTTTGCCCAACACAACTATTGTTTTATTGTTTTGGTACTGGGATTGAACTCAGGACCTTGAGCTTGCAAGGCAGGCATGTCCCTGAGCTAAATCCCTGGCCTCCTTGCTGTTAACAGCATTCAATAGCTCTTAAAAAACTCTCTAGGTTATATACATGGCAGGAATTATAACTGTAATTGCAAATGCTTGAGAGAGAAAAGAAAGGATTGATTGCAGTGAGTCCTAAGAGAAGATGGAGTGATAGCACGCAGCTGTAATCCCAGCTACTTGGGAGGGTGATGCATGAACATGGTTTTGATCAAAATATCAAAACAGAAACACTAAATTGGCCAGAGGAGAGGTTGGGCAGAACTTTCGAAGACATCGGTGTAGCAAAAGATTTTATGAAAAAAACCTCAGTTGCCTAAGAACTAGCACAAACAATCAACAAATGGGATGCCTTCTTATGAAAAAGCTTCTGCACAGCAAGAGAAACCACCAAGAGTGTGAAGAGACAACCTACATTGTGGGAAAAAAAAAAAACTTTTCACCAGACAAAGGTCTACTATCTAGAATATATATGTAAAAAATCAGACCCCCAAATTGAAAGACCCCATCCAAAAATGGGCATCTGAAGTGAACAGATGTTTCTGAGGCAAAGAAACAGAAATGGCAAATAAACATATGAAAAAATGTTCACCATCACTGGTCATTGGAGAGATGCAAATGAAAACAACACTGAGATTCCACCTCACCACAGAAAGAATGGCTGCTGTCATGAAGTCAACCAGGAACAAGTGCTGGTGAGTAACAGAAACTACAGTATATTTCAGTGTGCTCAAAATACAATAAACTGAGGAAAGATGGCCATGGTGATTCTTTGAGAACAGTGAGTGCACATCAGTTTTTAACTCAGAATAAACTTTAGAAAATAAGAACCAAGATACATTATGTAAAAGTACAAGTTCCCAATGATGAATGTGACTGTACTATATACCTAAAAAGTGCCAATAAACTTAATGAAAAAAAAAAAGAATAAATTTTAGGATCAGCAACCAACTGTGGATGTTAGTTAAATTAGGAAATTGAGACTATTGTTATCATTTTACTAGGAGAGAATGAATGCATTTATATTTTATTTGAAAATTTTATTCAATTCTGTGATCACAGTGCCTCATCACAATTAATATGCCAGGACAAATTTGGCATACTGATTTGGAATTTCACCTGCTGATTTAGGTAGAATTGTTTGATATGAATTACTGAATTCACATAAATGTTTAAGTCTTACAGTATCATTATTCTATTGTTTTTTATTTTTTTTCTTACTGGCTTTGTTTAATAAAAGGTTTTTGAAAAAGAAAATTATAATCCACCCTTATTCATTACAGGAATGATATAATCATGCATGCATAATAATACTGGAGGGGTCACAAGAATCACGAATATATTTCAAATAATTTGTCATATACTTAGGTATGTATAATCTACATGTTACTCAATAATTTTCATACTAACTTTTAAATTATGTGTTATATACTTAAGTACACACATGTTTAATTCTGATAAAGAGATACAGCGTTAACAAAACAAAACAACATCCTGTTTTTACTCTCTGCGCTTAAAATAATTGTCAGAGCTCATTTGACTTTTACTTGTTCTCATCATAGCAATAATAAACAGCTGAATTTATTGAATGTAAGAGATCACCTAAATCTATGGGAAAATATAAATACATATGTCTGTACTAACACTAGCTGCACTTTGTCCACGCCATGAGTTTAAATAGAAATTTGTTTATGAGATGAAGAGCCTAATAAAGTAATAATTAAAAAGAGAAAATAATAGATTGGACTCTATGGCATTTATGCATATGCTGAAATTATCAAATGCATATCTTCATTTTAAAAATCTAGTTTTAGCTCAATATATCCATATTTGAGAACAGTTGAAAAGTTACATAATAAGATATTGAAGTGCTGAATATGCAAAACAAAAATTCTAAAATATTATAATGCAAAACATAGTTTAAATGCTGTTTTGTAATAAGCTATTGCAGTTTTATTTTTATAGTTTAAAAACTTGTAAAGATATAAACTGATATTTTGAATAAAGTGTTTCTGTACATAAAAATTTTGACATGTTGAAAATTTTGGCAAGAGAAAATGTTCCAAATTTTCTTGACTGAAACTTTTCAATCAAATTTTGTGGCATTTTGAAAATTTCTGAA